TTAAGAGCATTAATTCCCTCATTTTAGTGGGAATTTATCGGGAATATTCCCACTGGGAATGTTCCCGACAAGGCATTTATTTTTATAAACTCCTTTTTTAATATCACTAACTTCTCTAATAAATCCTATTATTTATAAGCAATAGTTTGCGCCCAACTATCGGTACCTTTATATACAGTGTTATATATATTACATAATATGAAAACAAAACAAGGTTGCAAATTACAATAGCGTAACATTAACCGTAAGTATTGTTTCGCAAAACTATAATTAATAGTTAAAATTATTAAAGTTAAGGATAAACTTAAGATGAATCGTGATACATCCTTACAGTATACATTTTAATATAATTTTGGCACAATTTCTAGACATTAATTATCGAAAATCTTAGAATAATAAAGATTTTGTGTTAATTTAAAATGTAAAATATTTCTTATATTTAACTTTAAAACATTTAATTTTACACTTTAATGACTATACAGTGAATACACGTATCGTTGTAACCAATGAGAGACAGTCAACTGCTGAGGAAATGTTTTTGATTGGTTTATCAGCTATAAAATAGCGGCTGATTTGATATTACGTGGTTAAATTATACTGTAAGTTAAGTTAAATCAAGTTAGATTAAGCAATAAGTTTTAACCATTATTTAAGCTATTACTAGGAAATATTAATAATAACTTATTGTTAACTAAGGCAACCACAATATGAGTCATTTAATATGCAGACTAAATAAAAGCCATGAATTAGTTTTAAAAAATCATAACATTTAGTTACTAAAATTAGTTACTAAAATTACTAATTTTAGTTACTAAAATTTTAGTATTTAACTCATGCTTTAAAATGAACAAATAGTTGTAATAGTCATTATTGTGTTCAAAACTATGAAAAAAGCATCCAAAAAGCATCCCCGCGGTTGCCTTATTGTTAACATAGACTTTAAGATAATTTCAATTAAAACACTTCAAATATTTATGCAAAATTATATTAAGATGGTGTTAATATTTTACAAATATTTTATAAAAATCACTAAAAAGTGATCAAATATTTACTTACTTATTTATTTAGTTATTTATACATAGTACAAATGATAATTAATAAGTTATATGAATAATTATTAAATATTATTTTTAGTGTTTAAACATTATCTAAACTTTATATTATAATTAACATACAGTACATACATGTAAAGGGTAAAGTTCAATGTTAATGGGTGAAATGCCAAAAATTTTAAATTAAAAAATTTTATTTTTTTTAACTTTGCGAAATTAATTATCATTGTAAGCATAATTAAAATTGATATAAATTATGTTGAATAATTACGTTATTCACTATAAAAAACGTACAAAACTGATACTAAATTTCTTAATTTTGATATAACTTTTCTCGGTTATATCAGATTTGAGAGATTCCTTCGGATTTCGATTCTACTCATCCATACCTTTCTATTGATATATAATATGATATAGCTATTTATAAAATAAAAGATTTGACTTTCAGAATTTTCCCGATAAAAGTGGTCACTGCGGCCACACCCGAGGTCACTCGAGCATATGAAGTATACCACTAGACTCTGTTGATCAAGTACTTTCAGTATATAAAATATCTCTTGGGTGCAAGCTATCACACTTTTGAACATTGTCTTTTAGTTAATGATAATTAATCATTGATAAAAAATAACAACTGATTAAATAAATAAAACTTTTGTTGTTTTCTTAGAAACAACTTAATTATAAGTATAGCAAAAATTGCGATAAACGCTAAATCTGTATTTGAAATAAAGAAAACTTGAATTGACTGCAAATCGGTGTCGATTTGGAGCAATCAATAATTAATGATTGAAAGCAATTAAGGCTTTGATAACAGGTTTAGTTTATTGCGATAAACGCTAAATCTGTATTTGAAATAAAGAAAACTTGAATTGACTGCAAATCGGTGTCGATTTGGAGCAATCAATAATTAATGATTGAAAGCAATTAAGGCTTTGATAACAGGTTTAGTTTGATGTTGAATAATGTATAACAAGTGTTACCTTCACTAAGACGTCCCCAACCGGTGACAGTGGCGTTCTTTCCCAACAGGTCTATGTGTTCGGGTGGCAAACAGATGGGCCCGACGTGGGGCTGGAACTCAATGGGTTCGTCCAATTGGACGAGTGCTAAGTCATTCTCGTAAGTGAAGAAGTTGTAGTGCGGGTGAACCACCTTCTTCTTCGCACCCCTCTCTATGTGCGGATACGGCTCTAATGTACTCGAAAAGTCATATTCACCCACTCTTATGCGGATTTGTGTTAACAGCAAACTATAATCGAATATCACATAAAAACTCATTACAATAAATGACAGTTGTTTTCGATTAGAGCAGAAGACATACTCATCGACACAATGGCCAGCGGTTGCGATCCATTGGTTGTTAAGTATAGCTCCGCCACATCGATGAGTGCTGGAGAAGCCGAAAAACGATGTGCGCCTCACAGACACCTTTTTATTGATTATTAATGTGATTAGTAATAAGTTTTTGAAAGTTTATTTCAAATGATATTAATAGTTTGAGGGAATGTTAATAGTGAAGGTATAATAGTGTATGTATAATGTGTTGGTGGGGGCAATATCTAGCCATACCTGCCAGGGCCAGGCACCGAACGCTGAGTTCTTGCCGCCAACCACTTTAGTCTGTGGCATGAGTTGAGGGACACCGCACTGAACTGTATTACCAAATGATTGGCTAATTATAAGAAATCGATATTTGCTTTAATTATGTAATTATACATACCTTTGCTCGAAAGGAAAGGCCGTTTAGTATAAGTTTGCGAAACTATATTTGATGTTTCGTAGCCTAAAGTAGTGGTAGAAGTAGTGGCTGTCGTTGTCGTCGTCGTCGGCGACGGTGTTGTCGGAGGACTCTTTATGGTCGCGGCTGTCGTTACAAATGTTGTCGTTTGGACAGTGGTTTGCGGGACCGTTATGTTGATAGGCGTTGAAGGAGTTGTGCTCCGAGTATTGTATATCTGTTGATAGACACTCGTCGGTCTAATAACTATAGGGGGTCTAAATGTTGGCCTTATGTATACATTATTAGTACCTCCAGAAGGGGGTCTATAGGTTGAGAACAGGGAGAATATTGGAGGTCTGAACGTATGCAATACATTTTGGGGTGTATTTGATTGGATTGGCCACACTTGAGCTGTTATCGAGACAAATCATTGATTGCTTTATTAGTGCTGTTAAGCTTATAACTGCTTACAATTGTTAGCACATTTTCTGAGCACTTGTGTAAGTTTTCAGTGGGAAAAAACTGCATTTCTCATTGAAAATTTACACGAGTGCTCAGCGCTGATGCACTAAACTTTAAAATAATGATAAAACTTACAATGTATAGGACTAGGCGCTGTAGGCCAGGGCTTTGCAACCGATGGTGGTATAAGTGGTGGGGTTTGTGTGCTTTCATTTGACTCAATATTATTTATACTAAATTCGGTTGAATTGTAAAAAGTGGACGGTTTGGGAGGTTTGGTAAATGGTTTCACAGGTTTAGCTGGTGTTGCAGTTATCAGTGGTTTAGTGGTTGTGGTGGTGGTGGATGTGGTTGTAATAGTCATATGTGTGGTCGGTCTGGTTGTGGGCCAACTTTGACCGGTTGTGACCACTGGGTTGGCAGTGGGAGACTCGACGAAATGATTGGCAAATGTCTGTGTATTAGTCGTGTAGACATTATGTGTGGTCTGAGAGCTGTGTTGAGTGTTGTGAACAATTGTCTGATCGATTGAATTGAAGGTATCGTTATGTCCACAACAACTGCCGAACAGAAAGCCGTCGACACAAGTGCCGAGATGTTTGCCCTCGGTTTTGATGCACTCCCAGACGAACATACAGGTGCCCTCTTCTCCCAATGCATTGTTGCATACTTTTGGTCTGATTTTAAGCGTATCTCCTGTTGGCATATAAACATCGATCAGATATGACACACAAACACTGTTTGATGTCTAAAACACAGCCTTAGAAATGATATACTCGTGGAAAACAATACGAGTTGTTATAAAAAGACAATTACCTGAATATAAGCACCAAAACAAGTATAATATAAGGTAGAGAAGCGCCGACCGCCAACCCTGGCGTCTGGCTCTTAATCGCATTACGAAAAACACAGTAATAATAATAATAACAATAAATTTAGCTTTTCTGAAGATTTTCCCATTTCATTAGAATTGACTTTTCAAACAAAATACAAGAATAACAGAACTATGGATGAGTTGAGATGTTAGCGGATGACCGACTTTAGCTCTCCCTTATTTGTCCCCTCTCTTCGATCCGGTTATGAAGATATTCTCATTCTCTGTAAATGTATTTTAAAAAAATTATACTGACTTTTAGACTCTAATAACTTGAAAATCTAATTAAAAAGTCACAGCATTTTATTAGAAATCCAAATTTTATGACCAGAAGAGTAAATACATTTCATGCTTATTATATACTGTTATATAACTGTTTATTAACATAATGTTTATAAATTCAATAAATACTTTACATGTCTTGAAGTCCTGATGTCCGTCCCCTCAATGGACAGTCCGTTGTGTAACTTCACACTAAACTATATCCCGATTTGTTGACAACCATTCACTTATTGTAATAAGTTATAAAACTAAATTAACCACAAAGAACTTGCAACATATAATTATCTCTATTTCCAAATATCACTCACAAATTATTAACATTTTAATTTTGAAAATTGAAAAATTAAATCAATTGAACACATATTGAATGTGAAGCACAAAAAAGAAGATGTATTTTAGGACTAATCGTAATCTGAATTAAAGTCCTAGTGATGTGAGGAATGACTTTTCAACAGTTATAACTAAATGACCTGATTTTTGGCGGAGAATTCTCCGCCTAAGAGACGACCTACAAATTGGTTAACAGGAGGTACAGGAGGTACACACATGAGGCATACATGAGGTACAGGTGCTAATTGGCATTATTGCTGGCATGAGTCGCAAACAAGAGGAGTTATACCACTCCTCAAGTCATTCATGTGTTCGACAACGAGTCGAGTGAAAATCCAATGAAATATTATGCGATTCCGTGTTCTTTGCATTTATAATCCCATATACAGTACATTATATATTATACTGTACTGTATATTATTGTGTAGTGTTTTTTGGGTACAAAAGCAAATCACTTGACCTTAAGATTCATCACTTTAATTCTTCACACGATATATAGGTTTTTGTGTGAAATATTATGTTATACATCAAATCAAACGCTTGAATATGACTTTAACAATAAATGGCATCATTTGTGTCATTACTTTTTCTTTGATTCAATCGATTGTAATCCTATCCAAGAAATGTTAGCTTTTTTCGCTCTGATTCATGTAAATGAAGACATCTTTATATTTAGTTTTTTATATTTCTTTATTATAATTTAATTTTTACTTTATTTTTTAGAATTTAATAATTATTTATATAATTAAGTATATATAATATACACACAGAATATAACAAAGCATTTTATAAATAATTTTTTGATATTAGATTAAACATATATTTTTGAAATTAATTTCAGATAATTAAAGCAAATATAATATAAATAAATTTTATTTCTGAAAAATAAAGTGTATTTCCGGTCACATTAAAAAGCAATTTCGTGTTTAGTTTGTGTCATAATTAATAGATTTTCTCATTTTTCCAATACTTGAGATTCATTCGAGTTATTTTCGAGCAATCAATTCGAGGATTCCTATTATTTAAACAATAAATTAGTTCTATATTATAAGAGTTATAATAATTATTATATTAATAAGTATATAAAATATGTTTATTAGAATCAATTGATATAGTAACATTAGTGTTGTATACAGATTTATTAGTGTATTTATTAGTGATAAAACTAAATAGTTAAAGTTTACTAGGCAAAAACTATCACGTAAAGGTCAATTTAGTAGTCACATATTGTAGTATGGTTTAATTATCTGGTTCGTTTCTGACAAATATAAAAATATCTATTTGTAGACATTCACATACTTATATTACAGTACAATACTTTTATAATTGTTGCACTTTTATGTCGAATTATATTTATATATTAATTTAACATAAAATTGTTACTACAACATGTTTATTATTAAAGGCATTTTAACATAATTAGTAATTGTAATGTATTTGTCGATTCTTTTGTATCATGGTTGATATTTTATATAATTATAGTTTACATTTAGATCTGATATTTACTGTATTTAAACATATATTTTTGAAATTAATTTCAGATAATTAAAGCAAATATAATATAAATAAATTTTATTTCTGAAAAATAAAGTGTATTTCCGGTCACATTAAAAAGCAATTTCGTGTTTAGTTTGTGTCGTCATTAATAGATTTTCTCATTTTTCCAATACTTGAGATTCATTCGAGTTATTTTCGAGCAATCAATTCGAGGATTCCTATTATTTAAACAATAAATTAGTTTTTATATTATAAGAGTTAAAATAATTATTTATATAAATAATATATAAAATATGTTTATTAGAATAAATTGATCTAGTCACATTAGTGTTATAAAATTAGTGATAAAACTAAATAGTTAAAACTAGGCAAAAACTATCACGTAAAGGTCAATTTAGTAGTCACTCGTGTATTGTAGTATGGTTTAATTATCTGGTTCGTTTCTAACAAGTATGAAAATATCTATTTATAAACATTCACATACTTATATATACAGTACAATACTTTTATAATTGTTGCACTTTTATGTCGAATTATATTTATATATTAATTTAACATAAAATTGTTACTAAAATTTGTTAATAATAAAAATACAACATGTTTATTATTAAAGGCATTTTAACATAATTAGTAATTGTAATGTATTTGTCGATTCTTTTGTATCATGGTTGATATTTTATATAATTATAGTTTACATTTAGATCTGATATTTACTGTATAATAATTATAACATGTTTATCAAATTTAAGCATAAAATAGAGCACTAATGGTATTATTAAAAAATAATTTCAAAAATAGTTGCTCTGATGATCGAGGAACATAAATTATTTTAATAAATGATTATTATATGTTAATTAACAACAATTTAAGCATTTATAGACATTATATATTATATTTATGCTCTCGTTTCTATATACAGGACTTTTAAATTAAAGTTTATTTGAGAATATTTTGTATGGATATAAGGGAAATGTTATACTCTTATCAATGTAAAGCATATTCAGTACAATATATTTATATAATATTGTACTGTAACATTGAATCGACAAATACATTACAATTACTAATTATGTTAAAATGCCTTTAATAATAAACATGTTGTAGTAACAATTTTATGTTAAATTAATATATAAATATAATTCGACATAAAAGTGCAACAATTATAAAAGTATTGTACTGTAATANAGAGAGAGAGAGAGAGAGAGAGAGAGAGAGAGAGAGAGAATTGAAATCTATCGAATTATAAAATAATCAATAATACAAACCATTGTAAGGGTTGAAGGAAAGCCAAGGGTTGCATCTTTTCGATATGAAAGCTGTTATCACATACAAGACTCGCTAAACTCGCTTTTCGGATCTCATTTAGTTGTGCTATTGTTATAGAAACTTATTTTTAAAAACTATACTCAACCAAATTTTGATCTAAAATACCTTCATTGAAAGAGTGTTTCATATTTCCGTTTTCAAACCAAAACCTATCGCCGACTAAACGATTGAAATGATTAATAATAGTGTTATTTATGGTTTATAAGGCAAACAAACCTTTATTTCTTCGCGCCTGTTCCGCCAAAATGCAGGCAAATATGGGTCCGACCACCGCATCAGGCAGTGGTCTCTCGTGATTACCGGCAATAAACAAATCGATGTCATCCACATGTCTGCAAAATTTTAATAACTAATTAATTTGAATACATGTAAGTAAATGGGATAATAAGCAGACCTATAGATCAAAGACATGATGTGTGCCGATCCTGGACGCATCACTTGATCCAATTCTTCGAATGTCTTGATTCGAGGCAAACCGCATACGTGTCTGAAATCATTATAACCGGACAATCCGTGATCTCTTCCTAAACATTTAAATTCAAGTGCTTTAGGCTTAAGATTACTGTTTATATTATATTTTAAAATTTTAATAATTAATTAATGGCCGATAATTAATTGTACAACAAAAAAGTGTATAATTTTAATATCAATTTAATACTATTAATCAGTTTTAATTACTATACAAATATTTTACCATATTGATTAAATTTTGTTTTTAGCTAAAAACCATTACTAAGGGTGCATTATTAATTTTAAAGATATCTTGATGGAAAAGCAACTACAGTATAGTAAACTACTATATACTACTGTATAAAGCCTGTCCAATAAAATCAATAGTAACTTTTGATTAGATTTAAAAATTAAATAAATATTAGTTGAAAACAATATGTATATCATTAGAAGCGGTGTTTATTTAACTACAAAATAATGTAATCTGTTTTGCGGTAACTATTGTGGTTACCGAGAAATCCCCACCCGAAGACACCTACCTCTAAACACAGTTTGGCACTATTTTACAATGTTAGTCTATGGGAAGTAAAATATCCGACTTACATTTCTTGATAAATATGCTAAATTACACCTTCAAGGGTCATGATTTATGCCCAATATGTGTTTTCTGTATGAAATGTTTATAATCTGATACTTTTAAAAGTTTAATTATCTTGTCTTATAATTCCCGTCGGGTGAAAATGCCAGACCGTGTTTAGAGGTCGGTGTCTTCGGGCGGGGATTTCTCGGTAACCACAATACTTACCGCAAAACAGATTACATTATTTTGTAGTTAAATAAACACCGCTTCTAATGATATACATATTGTTTTCAACTAATATTTAGTTAATTTTTAAATCTAATCAAAAGTTACTATTGATTTTATTGGACAGGCTTTATCATATGCTTATATGACAAACCTCTTTGAATGTTGAGTGCAATTAAATCCATACCAAAGAGTGAATTGTGTTCTTGAAATAAATGGTTTGTTATCTGAAAATTGAATTCAATTAATTGGAAACCAACAAAACGACAATAAATGGCAATTCATTGACTCACGTCTTCAGTGAAGAATTGATCAAAAGTTTGGGTCGGATTTCCTGTATATCCGTTCAAAAATTCATCGAAAGCTCCCTTTCTATAGAGAGACGTGGGATTGTTGAAGTGCTCTCGCAGTTGGATAGTTTGTGTCACTTTTCCCGCGTTATTCAATAACCGCAATAAACCCTTATTTAGTAAATGGATTTAATTATAAAACTAATTTTAATGAGGGGTAAAATGAGAGCAAAACCTGAATGAGACTATGAAATCTGTAGACAGCGGTTGCGAACTCATTGAAGATTCCGGGATTTAGATTATTGTCGTAATCATAGGTATATCCGTTTGGTTTCGTAAACAGATTAAACTCTTTCATTACACTTCGGCCTAAATTTTTTGTATATTTATTACATAAGAATAAACGCTATTTATATCTTAAATGTCATAAAATTATATATTAAAACCCCTGAAAGGACTTTATAATTGTTGTGTGTTTCTGTTAAAACACGATTTATACATATTTTTTGACTTTAATAATTAATCTTTAATTTTTCTAATTTTATAAAAATAAATATTAATATTAATAGTTTGCAAAAATGTCAAAAAGTATACCTAATATTAAAGGCATCCATTCGTTGTAAGTAATGGACTGAATCTGTGCGGCGACTATACGTCTCGTCTCCTGATATACAGACTCATCGCTCCATTCTTTGCAATAAAACAAATTACTTTTTAATAAACTTATTGTCTGACAAAAAATGAAGTAAATTATGTTCAGAGTTTAGTGATTAAATAGGATTAATAAGTATAATAATTCAAACCTGGATTTAATCCTTGAAGGATTTCTGCAATTCTATTGTGTTCTCTGTAGTAAAAATATAGTTATAATTTAAAAATAGTACTCCGAGCTAACTTTTATTTAAATATTCATATATGAATTTAATAAAATATTTATAAATATTTAATAAAATATTCATATTCTGATTTCATACCTAAGCAACACATTGTGCAACATTGTTAGACCTGTTTGCTCATTAACCCTCACATCACCTAAATATTCATTTAATAATTAATGTTATTAAATATGTATAAATGATATGGATTTGTAGGGAAACCTCCAACAAAGCATTGATATCCCCGCTGTCTTTGAAGATTTTCAGGAATACCGCATTCATCCGATCGATTCTGGGTATCAAACGGTAGGAATTCATAGCCATTTACTTTATCTGCTCTTAGTTTTCCTTCAATTAAAATGTGTTTTAGATTATTTTATATAACGTTAAAACCAAAAATACAAACCATTTTTGCCCGATCGTAAAAATTTGGCTCTTTCTTCAGTAGAGCCGTATACCTATTATTTTAAGTACAGATTATAATTTATTTCAAACAATAAACAATAACTTTTTGTATACCATTGAGCCATCAATAATATGCGTTAACGTGTTTATTTGTTCTCTATATCCTATAGAATATAAAATATTAGTTTTTAATTCATTATAATTAGCATGTAATTAAATGTAAGCCATTTTACCTAAATTGCAGTCATATTTAGGTCCGGCAGCGTTTCTGACAAAGTTATTGCAAAAGTGGTTGTGTTGTGCATAGAAGGGGTCGTCTCGTGGAATGATAATGGGTTTACAGGCCGGGTGTCTGATCTTTGTGGCCCTTCGCGCCTCTTCATTACAACAGTGCAAACCCTCTCCCGTCGTCGCTATTAGACCATAAATTTTAATATCGTTACAAATACTGCAATATTTTATAAATTTTTTTATTTTTATTTAAGTGATACCTCGTGTCGAAGCTGTGAGAGTCAGGTCGTGATCTATAATCTATAAATAATTGTTTAGTTATATTAAGGGTACTGCAAATGAAGAGTATTTTGCTGCAAACCTGTCCCCATTGCATGACCAGTAGTGAAAACTTTCGGTCGGGAATATCAAAATCTAAGGCCAACTAAAACGTAAAGAATATCAATAAGATTTAACATTAATATAACAATTATTAGTATTATTATTAGTAATACATTACATACCTTACAGGAGACCTCTCTGGCCGACGGCAGATCCCCGCCGTCAACCGATACCCGCAGATCATTGAGTCCATCGGCATAAGAAGGCGGAACCAAACGATTAAATTGTGTCAGAGATTTACCCCAAAGAGGATAATCAAGATTATTGCAATTGCCGTCTGCTGTGCGGTATTTAGACTGTCGGTCACATATCGGTGTCTCCGGACAGTGGCGTTCCAGAGGGGTGTCTAAGAGACTAAACTTATGCAAACCATCTCTCGCTTGCAATGGAGTTAATTGATATCTAACCACAAAAACAATGTCAATAATTTATTAAACGGTTTATTTTGCAAACCTCTTAGCGAGTTGTAGTGTAGTCTCCAAAGCGACCAAACCATCTAATGATAATTTCTGAATCTCTGGGTCGTCGGGTCCGAAGAATGCCTGATGAAAGCTCTCCATCGTATTGTTTCGCTGGAAAAATCCTATTATAATCACAGGACAAATGTCACACATAATGGTATTGTACTATACATAAAATGTAATAAGTTATATAAGTTAATAAGTGTCAATACAATACCCGCTCGGATTAATTCTTTCTCAATAGTCAATTGCTCTTTGATTATTTTTTGACTTTCTTTTGCCGCTTCTATCACTACCTTATGGTCGATATTTAAAGGGATTACGGGTTCGATAGGGATTGGGATTCTAATGGGCACTAAATTAATAAAATAATTGTTAATTTGAATATTAATATATGTTTAGAATAATTATATCAATTATTTACAGTAATGAATGATTGGTTTTCTTATTATTTCTTTAGGACAACAAATGCCTATTAAACCATTGGATTGTTTGCATTGGTTTTGCAGATATTGTTCAATAGAGTCGTATTGACTGAAACAAAAAGCCGGAGATCGACAAAAACCGTAGATTCCCTCCACAGTAGCGCACGGGCTATAAATCTCATCAATTATTGCCTTTTGTTCTGCAAAACAATAGAAATATTACAAAAATAATAAAATATATTTAATGGCTTATGATTGAAAATTTAATTATTTACTGTGTTTTGGTGTATAACGTGGTCTATTATATGACTGATATGATTTTTGTTTGCCTATTAAATAAACAGATCAATTGTTATAAAATAATTAAAATATAGCACATGGCTTACAGGGGCCTCGATATACATATCCATTCTTAAAGAATTGACAAGTTTTCTGTTTCTGTAACACGAGACTTGCATATTGTTCATAAGGTTTGCCTACAATTTTTAAGTCAATTGATGTAATGTTAGATTAATCCAAAATTAATACAAAAACACTTACGGCAAGAGACAATGTCTTCAAGAATAAATACTAATAACAGTACAAACCATATATGATATGATTTATACATTATTTTAATGTATTGTCGGAAACTTATAAAACACTCGCTTCTTATCAAAATGACATTCAAAATAGTTTTGAAACAGTTTTTCCTTTTACACCACTAGAGAAGAGTCGAAAGGAAACGACAAAAACTTACACAA